GTAAATGTATATATCCAATGTATATCATTATATATAAAATTTGCTTGTGTGTGTGTGTGTGTGTGTGTGTGTGTGTGTGTGTGTGTGTGTGTGTGTGTGTGTGTGTGTGTGTGTGTGTGTGTGTGTGTGTGTGTGTGTGTGTGTGTGTGTGTGTGTGTGTGTGTGTGTGTGTGTGCGTGTGTGTGTGTGCGTGTGATATAACTGTAAAATATCAATAATAGGATGATTTGTCAGTATTTTACAAGTGACATGATTAAAGAAATAGTTTTGACCAGTATGACCAGATATTGTTTATGACATTATAGTGCTTAACAGTAACCCATATATTTCATAAGTATCATAAGCCATTATGGAATAAAGATCTAACAAAAGGTAAAGATATTATTATTGTCTCTGATGAGGTCAGAACATTTACATATTATTGTTTATACATTATTGAATACCCTATTCTATTGAAACTATAAAATATGAAGTAATAAAGATATGCACTTTGTTATTACTTATGTGATTTACAGCATTTTAATATCCTGAGAATAAAAATATAATGACACACTTCAAAAACAAAGGATCTATTGTTATAAAATGAATAACTAAGATAGTCAAAAAGAGGTGAGAGCTATGAATATTTATAAACTATTTCTCATCAATGTTATTTCATGATAACAGAAACATTACTTACAGTGCAAATACTTTACACCTTGTCATTATCTTTTTAATAAAAGAAAGTTCTGAACTAATACATTATTATATCATTTATTGTAACAGACAACAGTTACCAGTAACATACAAAACACAGAAATCATCTAAATTAATTTGTAGATTTCCTGCATCAAGCACACAACACAGAACTACATCCAAGCTAATACCAAGAGACCTCTTACAAAATACTAGTTTATGTCTAGTCTTTGGTGATCTCCTTAGTCAGTGAGGAAAGATGCCCTTAATAACTCCTCCCATAATTAAACTAACATCAGTAACAGTACCACACATCCTGTTGAGGAGACACCTAACACAGCATGGTAAAGTAGAAGCTGTGTAACATTGTCTCCTCGCTTGATCCAGACTCTCCCTTTGGAATGGGAGAACCATCACATCCCATAAATACTGGATACTTGGCACAATAAACCGAACTGGAGACTAAGGAGGTAAAGCAGTAGTAACAAACTTGTTGGAAGCAGCTTTCTATATTTTGTTTTCAGTGTCTTCATCTGAAAGATCAACAAATTATTTAGGATGTATTTCTAAATTTCAGATTTTCATGTCAGGGTACTTCTGATAATGCTAATATAGAAAGAATTAACCTATGCAAAAGCTAAAGTTGTTTAATGATAAGAGTTTTTAAGTTTAATATGATTACAATCAACTTAAAAAATCTGCTTACCAAAAGAAGTGACTTTCAAGAGAGGTTTGGCACCAAAGGAATCATTTGGCCTTATAGTCACATCTGCTGGAGGTGCCCATGTTGGCTGGGGTTTGCATAGCTTCTCTATTCTCTGTAAAACATGAAACATTACATAAACAAACTAGTTTCTCTACTTATTTTGTATAAAGAAATCTCCAATATGTACTGACGTGGACCAACCAACTTAAAAAACTTTGGACCAACTGAAATGACTGAAAATGCATGGGGTGGGGTGCAAGGGCGTGTGAGTGCTGGATATATTTTTGTGAGCAAAGTCAGCAGAAAGGATGTTGTGTCTGGGCTGGGAAGAGGCCGCAATTTATCTATCATTAATTACTAGTAGGTTATTGGGAATGTCCTTATATAGAAATATGTGTTACATCAAGTGAAGGGATGATTAATGTACTATATGATACACATTAATTATAAAAAATGAGAAAAGTAACTTTGTTTCAGTGAATTCCTATGAAGGGAAGAAATACTAATAGACACTGTTCACAAGTACAGATTTGACGATTACCAGATAAGTCAACCAAAGACCAAATGAGCAATATCAACACAAGGGATGACATTCCAGTATGTTCCTGGCATATATGTATATCTCTCCTTTCACAGAAATTTTCCATTACCATTTTTTTCAGCAAATAATTACGCTTTACTCAACTGCTTACATCTTTCTCTAAACTTGATTGAGAACAACCTTGAACATTAAAAAATGAAATAAATAACAGTAACCAGTCATATATCAGTCATTTACCTCAAGAAGGGAGCCCTTTTCACCAAGGATCTTGTAGATTGCAACGGCAGGAATAAGGGCCACAGATGAGAATGACAGAATCCACCCTAGAACGTTGGCCCATTGTGGGAATTCGTAATCTCCATACTTTACTGGAGTGAAGTCAATCCAAGAGAACACCAAGATTGTCTGTAAATTCAAATAAACAATACATGAAATTGACAACCTGTTCCAATAAGTGCTTTTGTAAAATGTTCACAATTTATCAGTAAATGCCACAGCTAACAGACTAGTGGGAACCTCATAAATGGCTACCCTGATAGTAATTTAGATATATTTGTCATTTATATCTATTCCGGGAAACAAGCACCGGGACCTGGCAATATGTGAGATGTCTTTTAATAACTTCTACTATAAAAAAAAAACAAAAAACAGAAAGGAAGTAGGAAGGATGTGCTCGCATGTGTGTGTTTGCAGTGGTGTAGAGGTCTGGTGATGCCCAGGGCCAAATCCTTGATTGTATGCCCCAGAGACTCAAGTGCACGGCTTAATACTGAGAATTTTTTTATGAGGAAGATATTTTGAATATATAAATGCAGATACAACATGAAATAAACACTTTATCTGATTTAAATATATTTTTAATAATCACTATCTTATTTCCCTCTGAGTGGATGCAACCCCTCCATATGGATGCCCGATGCCACCTCCTCTTCCCCCCCCTCTGCACACCACAATATGTGTGTGTATGTGTGTGTGTGTGTGTGTGTGTATGTGTGTGTGTGTGTGTGTGTGTGTGTGTGTGTGTGTGTGTGTGTGTGTGTGTGTGTGTGTGTGTGTGTGTGTGTGTGTGTGTGTGTGTGTGTGTGTGTGTGTGTGTGTGTGTGTGTGTGTGTGTGTGTGTGCGTGTGTGTGTGTTTAGATAGACTAATAGACAGATAAATAAATAGATAGATGGAAAGACAGATTGATTGATATATGTCGAAAAACCGACAAATTTGTTAAGGCGGCAGCATAGTCACTGGCATCGGAATATCGACTATTCATAACTTATCTATTTCACTCTAAATTCAGCTAAGATCACAGACCAAATCATAATACAAAAAAGAAATAAAAAAAGGAAGTAAAGAAAAGAAAAGTAAAAGTCAGGGCACATTGCCTGAAGAGGTGATATTGCAATAAAGTCTTTTTTTTCCCAAGTGCCAAGCGGTCGGAATTGGACACAGTGTATGACAACTATTAACACTCTCTTTGGCTAGTAAGAAGAAGGGAATGTTGCAGGGATCAGTGTTCTATTTCTTTATTTACAGGGAATGTCCTCAAAAGTTGAGGAGGACGGGGTGGGGGCAGAAGTAAGGTCCGCCTCCCTCCATTCTAGTGTAAGCAGTCGAGAGAGAGAGAGAGAGAGAGAGAGAGAGAGAGAGAGAGAGAGAGAGAGAGAGAGAGAGAGAGAGAGAGAGAGAGAGAGAGAGAGAGAGAGAGAGAGAGAGAGAGAGAGAGAGAGAGAGAGAGAATATATTGATATGAAAGTTGATTCTAAAAACTTACCAGCACAACTAAAGGCATCCCAAACTTCCACACATACTTCCAGAAGAACATGGGGTATGGGTATCTTCCCAACATTGTCTTGATGTCATTGAGGAAGTTGTCTACGCCATATACCCAGGTCACAACCACCACCTATTGGACACAAGAAGAGTTTTTTGTAAGTCCTTCATTTGTGAAAGTTCAACCAAATCAAATATGCTATACATTTTATCACTGTTAAAGTTTATAATTTAAAAAAATAGAATAGAAAAAGAATTAGAAGTATCTAAAATATATTCACAGAGCATAAAAAGTATTACAGCCAACAATTTGCTTATTACTATTTTTTATGATAATGTAGTGCATCAAAATCAAGACCAGCTTACAAGTATTCCGAGAAAATGTCATATGTGTCGACTATAAAAAAAAGAAAAGAAAAGAAAAAAAAAAGAAATGCATTTACCTCTGCCATCCCGACCATAAGTGCAGAGAAGGTAGACGAATATGAATCCATCATTTGAAGAACGTACATCCCTCCTTTGGTGGCCATGGAGAGCCCTACAGTAAACATCACGAGGCAGGAACACAGCAGGGCCCACCTGTGACGTAAGGTGAGAGGATTATTTCTGATCATGCTGGTGGAAATGTAATTACTCGATGATCCATATCCACACACAACTCAGGAGTTACAAGAAATATTTGGTACACAGAAGATAATTGTGACTTAGAATGTTTATGACAGGTGATATTTAGAAATTAATAAAAGGCAATACAGTAATTCCATACAATCCTTTGGTATGACAGAACAGTTTGGTACAGCTCTGTGTTCAGTGGACACTCTCCATCAAGAGGGATGAGAACAATCGTTTATTTTCCTTGAGTAGAATGTCATGATTAATGGTCTGAATAAGCAGCAGCAGTGTTTACTACTTAGCCATTGGAGTGTGAGAAAGCCATCGGTAAGGACAACTGGCTACCAGAGCCAGGCTGAGGCATGTCACTCCAGTGGAAAAGTGGTAACCACTGCCTTTACAAGCAATCATAAATATTTAATGACATAGTAATATCCGTGCTAACATTTCTGGTCTCCTGCAGTTGTTGCATACTTGATGCTTGTGCAGGGGAGAGAAATGGTGATCATTGATTAAAATGAGGAAAAGGCCTTCTAGCCAGGTGCTCCAGAGGCTGATTGACACCCTGCCATGAATGAAGGGTTAGTCACACATAAAGTAACATACCACAAGTGAGTGCATCCCACAATACTGTTAATAAATACATGGTTGGGATGGTAAGTTGCCGCTGAGGTGATGGTGGGTTGACTCACTTGAAGTTCTTGCCGCGCAGGGCTGGGAAGTCATCAGTAATGGTGGTGATGATGGTGGTTAGGATAGTAAACTGCGTGCCAAGACCCAGAGTCAGCAACATGGCGAAGAACAAGATGGACCACACCGGCGACAGAGGTAGGCGGGCCACGGCCTCGGGGTAAGCCACGAACGCCAGGCCCGCTCCTAGAACGTGCATAAAACGACTCCACATCAGATCTTGTTGCGGAGAAATGCTACCCTACTAGTGACGGTGAAGTGACGGCCTCAAAGGCACTTGCACGCCAAACGATTGGCATATCGATGAAGCGACTTATATATAAATGGATCTAGGGACTGGAAATTTTCATGGTTTCCAGAGGGCTTAGGAATAACGCAGATGACGAGGATTTACATATAATAATTTTCATTCTGCTGAATACTTAAAATGTACATTAAAACAATGGTACTTACATCAGCAATCAGTGCTAAGCGTGCAATAAAAAAGACACAAAATACGCACCAAGAAAGTAAAGAATAATTATGTGAAGTGTGTCAGAGTATACTGGATGCTGATTTCTTATGATTCTGAATCTGTGTTCATTCTGTTCCAATCACACTTACCGTGCCTCATATTTGGATTTTTCTCTCAAATTGCCAAATACAGCACCAATAACTTTCTAAACCATACAGAACATAGTCTCTGGATTGGGAACTTACCTCTACTAATCCTCGCAACAAAAGGACCTGTAAATTCTAGATATAACAACAATAGTCTACCAACTCACATTGCGAGAAGCGGTTCACTGGAGACTTGAACCAAATAACATGGATCTGGAAAAATCTATACATACCCATCCACTCCATTATTTGTGTTTAGCATGTGCAGTGGGAACATAGACCAAAGCTACTTAGAAAACATTAAGATTTCATGATGTATATATCCTCTGGATTCTGGTAATGAGATTAGAATGAAAGATTAAATCATTCAAATTGTGACTGTAAAAGGTGTTTGATATATTCCATTACATTAAATGAAAACTCTCTGACAATGATTCAAATGTTACTTGACTTTGGTATTATTATTTTTTTGTAAGTCTGATGTAGTGAAAGCAAGAGTAATGATGTTGATGAATGTTTAAACCAATGACTTACTGTACCACTTATAAAATATGGAGACCGTGAGTGAGAGTGGTGGTTCACATGTCAGCACAAAGGTTTACATAATGTGCTTTAGAATTTTTAGAATCGCTTCTGAAGGCATGACTGTAAAGAAAAATAACACTGCAATGTGTTTTTGACCACTTGAGGAGCACTTTCTTTTTATGAAAGACATATGAACCAAATTTCCTTGCAGACAGGGAGAGACTGAGTGCTTAGCATTTCTTTTGAATGATCAAAGCTGCTAACAATATGGATTATGATCTAGTTATTAAGATACCTTCAAAGTCAAATTATGCAGCAGTCAGTCTCACGATGTTGGTATCTCCATAATGAATCTTTGAACACAAGCAATGCAACCATAACGGATTCGGCATTTTCACTCAAGTGGGTAAAACAGACGAAGATGGTTTAATTTTCATCGTCTTCCTCTATTGTACGCCCCCTGAATGGAGCCTCGTGCCGTCACGGGAAACCAATTCGGTTTAGCGACTCTGATGCGTTGAAAAAAAAGAAGTCCACTATGGACTGAGATCTGTTTATGGAAGATGCCAGCACCTAGTTATCTGCAGGATATGCTAACCCTGCTGAAGACTGAGGAAGGTTGTGTAACTCTAAAAGTCACTTACCCTGCACAGCAACCTTTTCAACAGGCACGCCGAGTTCGTGAGCCATGAAGCCAATGATACCGAAGATCACAAAACCAGCAAAGAAGCTCGTGAGACAGTTACCAATGGATACCACAAATGCATCCCTGAAAGTGGATTGATAAAATTTAGATTCCACTGTGGAAATTACACACCATAAGTATTATAATACCTATAGAGGTTAAACAATACATGTATCAGAAACTGCATTTCCACTGTTGAGATTTTCCTTTACATCCTAACACATTTAGCAAACAAAAGGTATATTCTTCACTTTTCCGTCTTTACAAATGTCAAAAAATTAATCACGTACGAGCTAGAGCACATGAGACATTACTTGCCTGTAACAGTTATTGTTGAATTTGTTGTATGATGCGAGGGTGATGAGGCCGCCCCAGCACGGAGATAAACTGAAGAAGATCTGGATTGCAGCATCGCCCCAAACCTATTATAAGAGAGGATACAGACTGTGTCACCAATGGTAATAAATGGTGCTATTACTTTTACATTATTCAAACGAGACAACTATTCCCTGAGCAAAAAGTTTAAATAATCAAAATAGTTTATGCATGTGGCTCCTATCTTTCCGACTCTGTATAACAGTTCAAATTAATACAACTGAGGAAATGAAAGAGAAGAAAAACTCACTGATGGCGTCCGAATCTTGTCCCAGTTTGGTGTGAGATAGAATCTAATGCCATCCATATATCCTGGAAGAGTGGCTGCTCTCACCAGTAGCACAATGAGGATAAGATAAGGGAAGGTTGCTGTGAAGTAGACAGCCTGTAAAGTTAAAAGTAAAGTATCATGAATTATATGCGTTATATCATTACATGCATTACATCATGTCTTATTCCACCTGTATTATCATTATTATCCTTATCATTATTATTTCACATCATCAGAGCTACGAATTCAAAACACCACACACAAAACTGTCACTACTATCACCGCCCGTAATAGACACCCACGTACCTTTCCAAAGGTTTCAACCCCTTTGATGAGCACGAAATACACGATGACCCAGGCCACAAAAAGAGCGATGACGACATTGCCTTGGAAGCCCCCCATGTCGTGAAGACCATCGGTGATGTCTAACACGTGGTTGCTGAAAGACAGGTGTGTTCTCAGTAAAGCACATCTAAAACCCTATTAATGAGTGTGATATAATCAGTAAAGCACATTTAAAACCCTAGTAATGAGTGTGATATAATCAGTAAAGCACATTTAAAACCCTAGTAATGAGTGTGATATAATCAGTAAATCACGTTTAAACCCTATTAATGAGTGTGATATCAGTAAAGCACGTTTCAACCCTATAATCAGTAAAGCACTCCAGTAAAGCACGTTTAAAACCCGCCATAAAACACTAGTAACGGGTGTGTTATAACCAGTTATATCTAGCACTGCTGATTATATCATGATCAAGTGCACTTAACATTTTTCAAAACATTTCTCTCTGCAAACCATGTACAGGAAGGCCCACTGCCACACAACACATCTCAAGCCAGCAGACCATTCAAAAAAACATATACAAATCGGGATAGGCTTACTGGAAGAACTCATCGGCGGGACTCTTAAGGTTGCTGAGGGACTTGTTAAGGGCATTCCAGTCCTTATCTGTCACCATATCAGGGAAGACGCAATTTCCTGTCACGTTCATCAAGCCGCCAGCTAATGTGCAATTTTTGGAGTTGAATTCCTTGCAGACTGAAGAGAGAAAAGGATGCTCTTTATGTATCACCGTATTCAATCATTCTGTGATTACAAAAATAAATATATATATAAATAAATATATATCTAATAAGTCTACGGTTGTTGGAGAGCTCTCGAGATTATTTACGGAAAAGACAAACCCAACAGGAAAAAAATCCAAAGGGGAACTCACACTCTGAGCTCCACTCATCGTTGCAGCTCGTCCAAGGGAGTGTGTGTGTGAAGGAGGAGTAGATGTAGTAGATGGCCCACGAGAGGACGACGTTGTAGTAGCACCCGATGTAGAAACTGATCATGAACATTGCATAACCAATACCTGCAAGGCGAGGAAGATGTTAGTCAGGTTTAGTCTCACTCACTCTCACTCAAACTCACACTCACACTCACATTTACACTCACACAAACACACACACACGCTTGAAAAAAGTGACGTTTCGAGCCCGTCACAAGTTCCTCATCAGACGTATTAAAAACAGAAGGAAATCATTCCATCATCTTTCATTTTCGTTGGTAACTGTATATACCCGATGAGGAAATAATGACGAGTTCGAAAAGTCGCGTTTTAATGCCTTTCCTATTGTTTCAGTGCTTCAGTTTTGTATATGCATATATGGATATGTGTGTGTGTGTGTGTGTGTGTGTGTGTGTGTGTGTGTGTGTGTGTGTGTGTGTGTGTGTGTGTGTGTGTGTGTGTGTGTGTGTGTGCGTGTGCGTGTGCGTGTGCGTGTGCGTGCGTGCGTGCGTGCGTGTGTGTGTGTGCGTGTGTGTGTGTGTGTGTGTGCGTGTGTGTGTCTGAGCGTACGTGCCTGCGTGGGTATGCGTTTGCGTGTCCATATGCGTGCGTGTATATGTGCACACAGAGAGCACTTACCCTGGAAGAGCGGGCAGACCTTCCACACTGTGATGGGGCCCTCTCGTCCGAACTGCCCCAGACACAGCTCGAAAAACATGAGCGGCATCCCACACACCATCAGCATTATACCGTAGGGAATCAGGAAGGCACCTGGGGGAGAGATGGCATGGTGAGTTTTAAAGCGTATATATGGAAAGTGAGGGAGAGGGAGAGGGAGAGGGATGGAGAGGGAGAGGAGAAGGAGAAGAGGGAGAGAGGGAGAAGAGGGAGGGAGGGAGGGAGAGGGAGAGGGAGAGGGAGAGGGAGAGGGAGAGGGAGAGGGAGAGGGAGAGGGAAGAGGAGGGAGAGGAGAGAGAGAGAGAGAGAGAGAGAGAGAGAGAGAGAGAGAGAGAGAGAGAGAGAGAAGAGAGAGAGAGAGAGAGAGAGAGAGAGAGAGAGAGAGAGAGAGAGAGAGAGAGAGAGAGAACAAAATGTATATTTTCAGTAATTTCCCTCCAAAATGAACTGAAAAATGTGATTACTCGACAACTCTAACAATAAAAACATCTAAATATTAAAGCTAAACCTCCTGTTACCGAATTTCCTCTCTTAGTGAAAACGCATAAACGTCTTTTCCAGAATCTATATCCGGAATCCTGTAAACAAGCCTTCTCCTTG